AAAAAAAAAAAAAAAAAAAAAAAGAAAAAGACATTACGTTACTTTTTTTTTAAAACGAGATCTTCTTTCTTGTGGATGTATTGCAAATGGATTATGGGAAAGAAGCAAGAAAATAATTAAAAAAAGAAAAAAAATAAAAAATCGAAGAATTTGTTTGCAGCTCCACTTTCGAAGAATTTTAGTAAACCAAGACTCTGTAAATTTATAGTCAACTTCATCTTAAACCAAGTGGAAGATCATGCTCTGTACACCAAAATCGTATTATTTCTTTTTTACTTTTTAATTTAACACTAAAACTACCAAAATAATGGTCAAAACGACCATTATTTATAATTTTTGTTAGATATTTTATAGACGAAGTAGCACTGTATTTTCGTGAAATATACAAATGAAAAGCTCATGTACGTTATGTATTGTTACAAAGTTTCTCTATTTTTTTTTTTTTTTTTTTTTTTTCGACTGCGACGTCTCTGACGGAAATTTTATGTTTTGTCCTGTCAGCTTACGCAACAAAGTGGAGATTGCCTTGCTGCTGCAAACGTCAACTTCAATTGTCGAAGAAAAAAAAACAAAAAAAAAAAAAAAGGAAAAAAAACGTACGAGTGCACGGCAGACACATTATTTATTAAAATAAAAAGCGCGTTTTTCTGCACAAACCAGCGATAACAGAATCGTCACGATTCAGCGGTCGGATCGTCAAGCATCCCTGGGTGCCAACTACGCTACGAATTCTACGTCAGCGATCGCAGGCGGTATGCATGGAAATTAATTGTTGAAATTGTTGATATATATATATATATATACACATATATATATACTATATATTACATAAAAAATGTATAACACTGAATGAACGTATGCATTATTATTACAAGCAATATATACACATATATATATATATTTTCTTTTTATTATTATATGTACGTGTATATAATAATAAATGATATTAACAGAGAGCACAGAGAATGAGAGAATACACATATATACGATCTTAATGCACAATATATGATCCTCGGGTTGTCACTCACGTTTGCTTGAGCACGGAGCATTTGAGTTTGGCAAGAAAGCAATGGTGATGATTGGTCGTGGTAGCAGATAGTGAATTGCTCGACTATCGTTGGAACCGTTCGTTCGCGTTGCTTAAACCAACGTTTTCTCACTTACTTGACAAGAACCGTGTCTGACAGTTCTGTTCTCACACCGTGCTTCTTTGGGTCGTATTCCGCTATCATTGGGCGCATTGGTGTTCTCTGAAACAGAATTGAGAGAAAACTGAAATCACCTTTTATTGAGCGAGCTTATTACGTATGGAAGGTGTATTATAAAATAAAAGGAGCACACCGGCCGAACCCGATGAACTCGTAATGGTAATTAACTTCCAATTGATTCTATTGTTATCGAAACCTGCGTGGTTGGTGCATAATTTCCTGCTTACGTAAAAACAGAGATATATTTCATCTGCCACTACTTATGCTCTTTACCTTGGCAAACAGAACGTATGTACGCGTGTTATACTTTTGTCCAGAATTTTCTGATATTGTACATTAGGGAAGAAGATTTGATCTGCAGTTGCTACTTTCGTGAAACAATTATGGTGTTGTTGTCATTTTTTTGTAGAGCAGATAACGTTGTATATTGTGTACATACTTGTAAGATAATATACGTATCAAAAGCATCAAAATATAAGAGAAAGGTAATTTTATTGTAATTTTAAATTAAAGCTACGCTCGGACATGGTGTTTTAAAAATTTCAAATGCTAAGAAAAATATCGTCTTGGGATTTATTTTTAGTGAGAAGTGAATCCTGCATGACATACATGTATCATCTCATGATAATATTAGTGTATATTTCTCAAATGTAACAATACGAAGAGGAACGACTAATTTAATTTGATAGATCAGTCATTGTTTCCCTTATACTTGTAGAAATGTGAATTTTCATTGATCATTCGCAGTCTACTCTGAAAAATTCACAAAAGGATGCCTTGGGAAATCATTTCTGGCACAAGATTCTGTGCAGCTGAATTCTAAGAAGAGATCGGTCAGCATTTATTGTAAAACAACTGCGTTTCCATTACACCGCGGTTACACCTTATTTTCCCCCCTTTTCCGACAAAACTTCAGTTCCTTCTATTTCGATCCATTAACTGGGTCGCCCCCCCCTCGCCCCTCGATTATAAACGTCGCCCGCGCGATCATTTAAAAATAAGTCGAAATGAAGTAACCGGTGACTCGAACGACGCGACAAATGCCAACGGAAACGTGCGAGAACTTGAAATTCACTTTCTCAGTAAGACAGATATCACGCGTGCTTGTTAAACGTTAACAGTAAAATTAAGTATTCATTATTTATTATTTACTGTATTTTATTTTATTTATTATTTAATTATTACTTTATTTATTACTTTATTTATTACTTTATTTTATTATTTATTTTATTATTTATTTATTATTTATTTTATTATTTACTTTATTTTAATTTAAATATTTTAATTTTTTCTATTTTAATATTTACTTTATTTTAATTTTTTCTATTTTAATATTTACTCTATTTTAATTTTTTCTATTTTAATATTTACTCTATTTTAATTTTTTCTATTTTAATATTTACTCTATTTTAATTTTTTCTATTTTAATATTTACTCTATTTTAATTTTTTTTATTTTAATATTTACTTTATTTTAATTTTTTCTATTTTAATATTTACTCTATTTTAATTTTTTCTATTTTAATATTTACTTTATTTTAATTTTTTCTATTTTAATATTTACTTTATTTTAATTTTTTCTATTTTAATATTTACTCTATTTTAATTTAAATATTTTAATTTTTTCTATTTTAATATTTACTCTATTTTAATTTAAATATTTTAATTTTTTCTATTTTAATATTTACTTTATTTTAATTTAAATATTTTAACTTTTTCTATTTTAATATTTACTCTATTTTAATTTTTTCTATTTTAATATTTAATATTTAATATTTTAATTTAACATTTATTATTTTAATTTTTTTTATTTATTATTTATTTTATTATTTACTCTATTTTAACTTAAATAAATAAATATATATATTGAATGATTTCAAATTACATATATAGTACACACTTCGCTGATTTATAAATTTATCACCAATCTGGTTGTTGCTGTTACAAATGGCAAACTCTGCAAATAGATTGATACATGTTGTACGCGGTGTGCAACTTTATTGAGCAACTTTATCGTTCGTCGATTGATAATTTGTGCAAGATAAGCACTCGCCCTGCAGATACCTAAATGTTACCAGAACCGGTTTACAAACACGTCTTTATAGGTTTACAAGTTGCATGACCAAGCGGACATGCAACACCGGTGACTTTGTCGCGCCAAATAAACGACTGACATTCACTTTGAACGGTAGATATCCAAATATATATGTACATACGAGACGACAACGAGATAATCCCGTAATTTATGGGAAATTAATAAAAGTAAATTTAGCAACCTTTAACTTATTAGCTGGAAAAAAAACGAGTTGGATCGTTCAGTCAAACTTTAAATTTTTTATTTCCATTTAAATAGTGATTTCTCGATTCTTCTTTCTTTTTTATCGCAGTTCCAAATTATTGTAAAATGTCACATGTGCACGTATATTTTTCAATTAAATATTTATATATTTCATATTTTATAAATTATATATTTCTATATTTTATATTTTATAAATTATATATTTCTATATTTTATATTTTATAAAGTATACATTTCTATTTTTTATATATTTTATACTTTATAAAGTATACATTTCTATTTTTTATATATTTTATATTTTATAAATTGTATATTTCTATTTTTTATATATTTTATATTTTATAAATTGTATATTTCTATACTTTTATACATTTTACATTTCATAAATTATATACTTCTATATTTTATATATTACATATTTTATAAATTTTGTAAAAAGTCGTTTCATTTTTGTACGTACATGTATATTTTTTTTAATTAAAAAATAAATGTATAAATGTTAAAATTTTCGATCGTGTGATAAACACGAAACGTCGAGAGTCGCAATATAAAAGTGATAAAAATGACCAATTTATAATTTTCTATGGAAATTTTTTTATATTTATTGTGTTTTTAAATACTCGAGTGATTTTTACTAAAATATATTAGTAGAAGCTTTTTATTCTTTGCTGTATTATTAACTTTTCTCTGTCTCTATCTTACACTTACAATTTCTTTGCCACGAATATTATAGTTTAGCCGGTAGTTCTAGTGTTAAAGAACGCCTGTGCGAAGTGAGTTATACCTTGTGGCCTGCCTTTACAACCTGTTCAACCTGTCAATAAATGCTCTTTCGTAACCTGTGCACGTGAACGAGCAAAGCTGCTATCGTTCAATTATCTGTATCGCCCAATGGCACAGCCTATGTCAGTTCAACAAAGTGATATCTCTGTTTTTTCGAAAACTTCAAATTAGAACAGCAAAGTATTTGTAGATTGTTATCGAGTCAGCATTGTCATGTTTGTTAAACGATCATTGTGTCTTTCTCCAGTAGAAATTTTAATATTTTAAAAAGAAGTATCAAGCGATAATAACTAGATTAGCGAATTTTATAGCGGATCGAGCATACGCGCTGTGAAAAAATATATAAAATATCGAAAGTATAGTTATATAGTCGATGACATTTATTATTTTTTTAAAACAATCAATGTTTCGTATTAAATTCATATTTTTGTATTAGTATTTAATACTAAACTTGTATTATAATTATTAATTACTAAATTTATGTTATAATTATAATATAATGTAATAAATTTATATTATACTAAATTATACTAATTGTAAGTTTATTATACTAAATTTATATTATAATTACAATGTAATATAAATTTATTACATTATATTACAATTATTACAAATTATTACACTATATTATAATTATACTAATTTAATTATACTTAGTATAAGTATACTAATTAACTATACTAATTAGTATAATATAAATTTATTACATTATATTATAATCATTATAAATTATTACATTATATTATAATTATTATAATTTATTACATTATATTATAATTATACTAATTCAATTATACTTATTCTAAGTTTATTATACTAAATTTATACTATAATTACAATACTGTAATATAAATTTAGTACAATAAACTTGTAATTAGTATAATTTAGTATAATGTAAATTTATTACATTATATTATAATCATTATAAATTATTACGTTATATTATAATTATTATAATTCATTACATTATATTATAATTATACTAATTCAATTATACTTATTCTAAGTTCATTATACTAAATTTATACTATAATTACAATACTATAATATAAATTTAGTACAATAAACTTGTAATTTAGTATAATATAAATTTATTACATTATATTATAATTATAATATAAATCATACTATACTATATTATAATAATTATTTAATTATTCCAATTACAATATAATATAACATAATTGTTATAAATAATTATTAAATTATAATAGTTAATAATTATTATTAAATCAGACTGTGCACGAGTGTGCATGCAGGTAAAATTAAATTTCCACGAGCAATTGCACAGTTTCACAGTGCACAAAGATTTACTCAACTGAAGATACTTTACATACAGAGGATACAATCGAGAACAAATTTCGTTTAACGCAACGTGACAACGACAACGTAAGAGGAGAAGGGAAAGGGAAACAAACCAAATTCGAGCTAAGCTGCTCGCTGGTGTTCACCCTGATATAAGGACGATCATTGGTGGACAGGGAGCTCATCTCCACGTCGTGCACACTATCCGTGTTCCCCATTCTTCACCGTGTCGATTCGTTCAACATTCCTCCGAACGCTATCACGCCAGCTTTCCTCCTTGCTCCTCTTCAAATTTGATTTAAATCCGATCCACACCAACCAGCGTCAGTCGTTCACCGTGTGTTTTATTTATCATCCGCCGGTGCCAAACACCGACCAGTTGCGTCGTGTTGTACGAGGTTTGCCCCAATTCGCTGGCAGCCGCCCCCCCGCCTCGTTCAAACGAGATGCACGTGGATCGAAACTTGCTTCTCAGATGTATCTTGAAAATTCTTCACTCAAAGCGCTAGAAACTAAACTGGACCCTCGCGAAATTTCCACCAAGGCACTGGAAACAATTCCTCGAAACTTCCTTCTCTTGACAACAGTTTTTCGATCATCCAAACGGCACTGGGAGAAAATTCCTATCGATTCACACACACACACACACACACACA